TTTAGAAATTAAATTTTAATATTTTAAAAATAAATTTGACTAGAGAAATATTTTAAATAATATAATTTGTTTTTTCTGTCTATCATGTTTATATATTAACAAATTTTAATAATTTTTAAATAAATTATCAATAATTAAAAATAATTTTTTTGTCATTTCATAATTTATTTATTATAAATTTAAAATATAATTTATACGTTTGAAAATATTTATTTATATAAATTTAAAATAATTTATATATTTAAATATAATATTTATTATAAACATAATTTATTATAATTTTTAATTAGATATAATAAAATTTAACAATTTTATATTATTAGGCATCTTTATATTTCGTCATGTAAAATCTAAGGTTACTAAAGTCTTTTTAATAACATAAGTTCTTTTGTATTTTTTTTTAAATTTTAAAAATAAATTTTGTTTGAAATCCTAACTGAAATTATAATAAAAAAGAATATTTTATTTTATAACTAAATTCTAAATTCTAAACCTTCATCATCATTCTCTAATCTTTATAGATATTTCATTTTTCTTTCTCCACATTTTCACATAAAGGATTTCTTTAATTAATTTCTTCTCGATACAATTTATTTTTATTTTTTAATTTTCTTTTTTACTTATTCTCTTAATTTTCATTATTATAAAAGTTTCTATTCATTTAATTTATTTTCGTGTGCTACTTCATATTTATCTTATATGCTTTTTTTTTCATGTACTTTTTCTTCTATGCAACACAAAATCACACAAATAGGTTTGCATAATTTTTTTATCGATACAATCCTTTTTTCCTTCTTACTTATTCTCTCGTTTTTTTTATTTTCAAATTTTCTATCAATTTTATTTTTTGATTTTGTGACATCCTTTATTCTGCATACTATAATATATAAATAATAAGCTAGCTAGCATAGGCAAATTCTCCTATCTCTCTCTTTATCTTAGGCCACCAAAACATTTTTTTAAGGTCTTAGTACATCCAGGTCTTAGTACATCCTAGTGGCTCTTGGATGGATACCAAGGCTACTCTTATGAAATTCCTCAAGCATCATCTTTTTAAGCTCAGGTACACAAGGAATACATAACATATCCTTAAGCCTCAACACTCCATCTACACCAACTCTAAACTCACTCTTTTTCTCTTGGTTCAACTTCTCTACCTGACTTAGCAAGAAAGGATCAATGTTCTAACCCTTTCTAATCTCATGTATTAGGCTATTGGTCATTCTCAAGATTTCCAATCTAATACTTCTAGGTGTGAACTCAAAAGCCAAACTAAAGTCTTTAAACTCTTCTAACAAACTAAGCTCTCTAACCATTAAAGTAAACACCTAAAAGGATTTCCTATTCAAAGCATCAACCACTACATTGACCTTACCAAGGTGATAACTAAGCTCAAAGTCATAGTCCTTAAGAAAATATGACTATCTTCTTTGTCTTATGTTAAGATTTTTTTAGTCAAATAGATACTAAAAGCTATTATGGTCACTAAATATCTCAAATCTAGATCCAAACAAGTAATGTCTCTACAACTTTAATACAAAAAACTATGACAACTAACTTTAGGTCACTAGTAGGATAATTTTGTTCATGGATTTTTAACTGCCTAAATGTATAAGCTATTACCTTCCCCTTCTGCATAAGCACACCCCTTAAACTCATCTTAGATACATCATAACATATTACAAAGGTCTCACTAGGGTTAGATAAAACTAAAACAGGTGCACTGGTGTTAATCTCCTCTTAAGCTCTTGAAAGTTTTCCTCACACTTAAAGTCCACACAAAAGGTTGGTTCTTCTTAGTCAAGTTGGTCAAAAGCAAGGCTAACTTAGAAAAACCCTCTATAAAACCTCATATAATATCCAACTAATCCTAGAAAACTCCTAATCTCAAAAATTGATTTAGGTGTCTTTCACTCAAGTACAACTTCTACCTCAGAAGAATCTATGACTATTCTTCCCTAAAAAATTACATGAACTAAGAAGCTAACACTACTTAGCCAAAACTCACACTTAAACAACTTAACATATAGTTGTTTATCCTTAAGGGTTTGTAACACTATCATAAGATGGTTGGTATGTTCTTCCCTAGACTTGGAGTATATAAGGATGTCATCTATGAAAACCACTACAAACCTATCAAGGTATGGGGTGAAAGATTCTGCTCATGTAGTCCATGAATACTCTAGGTGCATTAGTCACATCAAAATGCATAACTAAATACTTATATTACCTATAATGGATCTTAAAAGTAGTCTTTGGAATATCCTTATACTTCATTCAAATTTGGTGGTAACTTGATCTCAAATCTATCTTACTCAACACACAAGCCCCAACTAATTGGCCCACAAGGTCATCTATCCTAGACAAATGATATATCTTCTTAATTGTAACTTTGTTAAATTGACAATAGTTTACACACAACCTCATACTCCCATCCTTTTTCTTCACTAACAACACAAATGCTCCCTAAGGTGATACATTTGGCTTAGTGAAATTCTTTTCCTGAAGCTCTTCTATTTGTTTCTTAAGTTCAGTTAACTCCTTAGGGGACATCCTATAGGGTGTTGTAGATATGGGTGCGATACTAGGTATCAAGTATATGGAAAACTCAGTCTGTCTCTAAGGTGATAAGCTAGACATGTCCTTAGGAAAAACCTCAAGAAACTCACCCATTAAAGGGATCTTACTAAGCTCGTTATCCTTCACAAATTTTAAACAAGCAAGGATCATGTATACACTATTATTTTCTTTTAAACAAGTTTTTATCTTATTAGTACTATTAAAAATTCCTTACTTTTACTCTCACCAAAAGATATGAATTTTTCAAAGTAGTTGAATAGGACGTGATTGGAAGATAATCATTTCATTTTGAGAATGATATTTAGTTGACTAAGAGACAAACAGATAAGGTTAACTAGAATTTCAAGAAGAACTTACAAAGGACATTATAAAAGGCAATAAGAATATAAACAAGACTACAAGTTGAAGTTGTATGAAGATGATAGCTTAGGAAAATGTAACTTACATAACGTGTTCCATATATCATAATTGAGGAAGTATATCCATGACTCGAGTCATGTGGTGGAGCACAATGTTGTTCAGGTGAATGATAATTTGACTTATGAAAAAAACCAGTAGTAGTTGTGGATCGTAAGGAGAAACAGTTGAGGGGCAAAACCATTCATCTTGTCAAAGTTGTTTAGGATGTGGCCACAAGTGAGACTATATGGGGGTTGAAAGACAAGATAAAGATTCAATATCCATTTCTCTTCCCAAGTAAATTGATTTTTGGGGACAAAAATTTTTGTTGGGGAAAATTTTAATATTATCATCTCATAACCCCGTTGTTTGATTTGACAGTTGTTGTTGAAAGTTATAGGACTAGGAGACCTTGAGGATACATTGATCTTTGGAGGGTTGCCGTAGAGATAAATGGAGCCGACTCAAGAAAGGTATAAAAAGAAATTTTTTAAAAAGGAAGCTCATAACTTACGTTTTTCAAGAACTCTATAGAGAAGCTAAAAAGAAGTTTTCTCCTTCTTCCCTTTTTCTTCTTCCTTCTTACTAGCCTTTCCTACCATTTTCTCAGCTAATCCTAGTAGTTATGGGCTAGAATCCAAGCTTATGGAAGCAGAATATTCAATTCATAGTTGCATGAGGTTCCTTCTCTTCTCCTCTTGTGGATTTAAGTCTCCAAAAGGTAAGGAAAGCTGTGATTTTGAATTCAGGTGTGCATTCTATGGTTGTGATAAATGGAATTAATTAATTAAAGGTGTTAAGTGATTGAATGATGAAATTGAGAGGGTTTTGTGGGTTTTTTTTTTTTGTTTAAAGGGTGTTCATGGAGGTTCATGCTTGATTCTTGATTGAATTATAGTTGCATGTTGATATGATGATGAAATCTTATTGTATAGGCTATATAAATGTTGTTTATTGTGTTACATGTTATTGGAATTTGTTGATTTTTAGGAGATTAAGCGAAATCAAATTCTATTCAAATGCAAAATCTGATATTGTGTCGAGCGTGCCTTCAAGGCATTAGGCAAGACTTTAAAGAAAAATCTTTGTCTCAATCACGTTGGGCACAAGATCGATAATGTTAGACATGAGGAGAGAGACTCATCTCAGGTTGGAATCTCATTGGACTTGGGTTGAATGATGTTGAGTATGAGGAGAGAGACTTGTCTTTGCTTGGGTTCATGTTAGATGCTAGTGTGTGGTGCCGAACGTGAGTCAGGCGGATAGCCCTTTGCCTGATCGGGGCTAGGTATGGGTGTTTCCACACCAAGCACAAAAGTCTGGGGTACTCTTTGTCTCAATCATGCTAGGCGCAAGTGGTGTGATGTCGGGCATGGGTGAGATAGGGTGCTCCTTGTCTTAATGGTGTCGGGCACCTGACGAGTGGTGTTAAGTGCAAATTGTATTATGAAAAGTTGGTTGTTAAAGATGTTTTACAATTGATGAATGATGAATAAGTTGTATAAGTGACATTGTAAGATGTTATATGTGTTGATATGTAGTAAGTTGAACATGTTGCAAAGTTGTAAGTTATTTTAGTTGCTTAAGCTGATTTATGATGTTGTTCAATCAAAGTTGTGAATGTTGCAAGGATCTATGATATTGTTTAAGTTAATATGTTGTAATTTTCAAAGTGTTGTGTGTTGTTAAAGTTGATAGATTGAATCTTGAAAAATGATAAAGCTATTATGTTGATAAGCTATAAATAAGTGGATTAGATATATGTCTTAGCTACAATATATAGAAACTAGAGATGAGTTAAAGATGTTTTTGAACTTAATATCTCATTGTGTGAATATACATTGCAGTGCTTTGAGGGCTCGATTGAAACTCTTTAGTGCATAAGTTGGCCTCTGAACGGGTAAGTTATTTTTTAGTTGTCTCTTCTAGGTTCTATGTGGTATTTGTGTGTGGGTAAGATCAAAACAAACATGTATAAAGCAACGAATCGAGTAAAGTACTAGGTCAAGGACTTTGTCTCTAACCTAGTAGTAAAAGGTTATGGTATTTGGAAGGTAATCAGTGTGTTAATCCCATAAGTGGCTTAGTGTTGCAAACTAATGTCGTGGTAGGCTCATACCAAAACTATTCTATCTTGACATAATATCATACTTCCTTATTTCAGTGGAAAAACTTGATAAATCAATCTAGCTTATTCTAGTCGTTGTTTTAACCTTGTGTTAGCCGTTGTTTCTAGCCTCAGTGTTAACCGTTATTTGTGATATTATACTAACTGTTGTGATTCAATAGTGTCACACCACATAAACTACTCACCATAAGATGTAGGAAATCTTTGTTGTTGACATGCATGATAACGCATTAAATGTGATGTATACGTTGAAATGTTGAATACACTAATGTTAATTAAGTTGTTATGCTGAAATTGCTATTATGATGTGATTTATTGCATGTTGATACAAGGGTGATGTTGATTTCATGTTGATTATGTGATAGTAGTTAAAATATGTTTAATGTTGATTATATGTTGAATATGCTATGAGAATGTTGTTTATAAGTTGTTATGTTAAATTCTTTTCATAAGCTTATCCTATGTTTTCCTTGTAATTGAAACTACGATGATTCTACTTGGTATGAGAACATGAAAGGATTAGCAGGAAGACTTATAAAGTTTGGAGGATAGGCACATTGGAGGTGTCTAGTTTTGTTGATAGATACTTTTGTGTAGTTAGATTTTATATAGATGTTGACCAACACCTAAGTTTATTTTGCACCTAGTACTATATTTTGTATTGGCATATATATATAATTGATACTAGTCACTAGTTGTATTATAACGGTTAGTGTTGATATATGTTATTTAGTCTTCCGTGTAATGTTTGTTTAGTAGTAGTATACTAACATATTGAATCGTTATAACTAATAATCATAAATTAGTATTATTATTTTTCATTTCAATTTTTTTTATTATATATTTATACATCTCCTGTCATACCTATTAACAATTAAACTTCTATACAAACTTTTATCCAACTAATATGTTTTTTAGTTTCAGAATAGAACTAAACAAACTTTTATTGGAGGCATTTTTCCTAAATAAATTGACCAAAGATTAAATGAATGTGTCATTTGTATATAAAACATATTTGAGTTCAATAATAAAAATGTGTTATTCAATAGCAAATTTTTAATATTTATATCTTTTAACAATTTTTTATTTTAATTATTTTAGTTTATTTTTCCCTTTAACATGTAGATATAAGAAAAACGAAATTCACGCTTCTATTAATGTGTTCTTTGATAATAAAAAATCAATATATGTTCTAATGATATCTACAATTTTTTTTTAATAATTTATAACAAAAATTAGTATATATTTATCTTTTAATATTGTTTTTAACTAAAACAGAAAACTTTCATCAAGTGCCTGTTCCTATAGGCATACATCAAGCAAGGGATTGGGGCTAATCCTGCTACCCAACAGTTATTCCCACACCCCCAAGTGAGGTTTCTCACTCCCCCCTTACCTGGATAAGTAGAAGATGAAGCTAGAGCAGAATCTGGTTGATCTCCTTCTCTTGGTTCTCCTTGGTCTTCAGAGAGCGTGTCTAGGAGCAGTGTCTGCGTATGCTATTTATAGACGTCAAAAGTAGCCAGAACGGCCCGTTTCAGATCTAGAACAGCTCGTTCTAGATTCATTGGTCATGTGTTAAATTCTCATCTAGAACGGCCCATTCTGGCTCATTTTGCAGTTGAGTTTCAACTCCTTGTCTGATGCATGTTTCTAGGAACAGGCAAAATATGAATGATTCCTGTTTTGATGTATGAGTTTTCTGTTGTGTTCCTTGTTGGATGTGATGCGTGAATATGTGTTTAATTTTGAAATTAGATAAGTTTTGATATAAATTAGAGTGCTTTGTGGTTCCCATGGGAAACCCTATGAGAAACAATTAGGAGTATGATCTTTTGACAAGATTTAAGGTATTTTATATAAAATTGTATATATGGATTTATGTTCTAGTTGTTATTTGGAGGATTTTTACCAATTGATTTATATGATTACATGTTTGTTGTGAAAAATTGTTTGATTTCAAAGTGTAGGTTCGCACTAATTAAGTGCATCGAGCGCAGTTCTTTGCACTAGATGCAAATTCATAGTTTCCCAGGAAAGGTTGAGCCGGGCTCAGGAAAGTTGCGCAAGGCTCAAGAAAATTGCGTCAGGCTCAAGAAAGTTGCGTCAGGCACAGGAAAGCCACACCAAGCAGGATTCTTCGCTTTAGGCGCGACATTAAATTTGTCGGGCATGCTCAAGGCACGCCGGGTGTGATCCCTATGATGTTTTATATGTTTTATGTCATGTTTGAAGGTGCAAATTGTGTGGGAATTACCTTATTACTGCGTTAACGTAAGTGATGTGTTTTAAGAGCATGATAATGACAATAATCTCCAACTGATGATCTTATGAGTATGATTATGAGAAATGTGAAATGTGAACAAGTGACATGAGACATGATGTGAATTACGTGTTATTGTGAACACTATGACTATGAGAACGTGAAACGTGATGAAATGAGATAAGACATGAAGTTCCATGACAAGTAAATGAGTCCATGAAGTGTGAATGTGTGTGACATGTATCATGTGCATCTATGTGACGAGTACAATATGGAGTACACCGTTAGAGAAGGCCCTCCTTGTGTAACAACTTGAGGGAGTCCTAGGGGATAGTGCGGTTTGGATGTCTCGATTCTATCTGTTTGTGAGCATAAGACGTAACTTGCGTAGCTTTGCTATCCTAACCAAACCCTAGCAGTACATCCTTTCTAGTTGAGAGTGTATGGGTAGCTCCCTACATGTACTCCTCAACTACCTTAGGTGTGTTGTTTAGGCAGCACACTAGTGATATGTGATATGTGGCGCCACATGCTTGCATTTATGAGTCAAGTCCATGACATTATTGCATGATAAATGAGTGTGCATGTGATACTGATTGTGTATGTGTATTGTTTGCTTGTGATTTGTGCTTATGAGTTGTATTATGATTTTGTTGTGTGTGTGTGTGTTGTCTAACCGTTATTTCTGCACCTGAACATGAGTGAGATGTTTCTCACTCCCTTGTTACTCTATGTGTATTTTATTGTGTTACAGGTGATCATCAACATGAGGATGTTGGTGATGAGGCTTAGGCTTTAGTTGGGCGTGCTCTGATAGGATATGTGACATTAGGGTGTAGCTAGGCTTACTTTAGTATTTCATTATTGTTATTTTATTTTGGAAAAACTCATGTTTCATTTTCTTATAAATTTCACATTTGACCATGATTTAAGTTTACGAATGTAAATTCTCTACTCTTATGTTAGTGAAACCATTATATATATATATATATTATCGTTAATTTTTAATTATAACTAATTAAATATAAAATCACTCATCTTATAAAATAAACTGTAAATAACACGAGAATTGAATATAGTATATATAACATTTATGGTTCTCATAGAAAATATATATTTTTTGTCAGTTGAAAATTAGAAAAGACCTTGGGCTCTCTCAACTTGGGTCGTGAACAAAACTAACTTCAGGTCCATTACTAAATAGGCTTCATTTGCAATCGAATGATCATAATAATAATAATAAGAAAACAATGCGTGGGAGAAAGTTTTAGAAGCTAATCGCAGGGGAAAAAGAACAAAACAAACGTATCTCGAGTTTCCGAAGCGCTTACGACCATCAAATTCACGTCCGAATGCAGCATTGTCCTTGAAGTTCAGGTGTAACACTTCGCCTTTTTCCTCTCACTCCCTCTAATCCATTTTTCCCCAAATATTTTTTTGACTCGTATACCTAGTCGCGCATGCATACATAGTACCAATTCAACGTTTTTAATTAATCTTTTCTCTCCCTCTCTCTCTCTCTCTCTCTCTCTCTCTTTTTTTTTTTTTTCCTCTTTCAATTTTAGTCCCATTATCACTGAATTCCTTTTCCCCCCCATACTTTGATCCCTATTATCATCAGAGCAAGCACGTGCATGTAAGTGAATCATATCCATTTGAGGTTGCAAATATCTGTTTTTTTTTTTTTTTAATTACTATTCTTTTTGTGTCAAATTTACATTCTTATTCATCTTAGGAAAAAGGGTTTCTACCCACTCAAGAGTTATTCTAGTTTTAATAGTTATTGCTGCATATACTAATTATGCAATATGTTCTTATTCTTTGGGGGTGTGATTGGTAGAGATACAAATGAGAGAATTGAAAATAAGGATTGGAGCTTGTTGTATTTTGTCAAATTGGAGTTGGTTGGTTTGATTGTTAGTTTCTTACTAGTAAATTGCATGCGAAAATAGGAGAACGTTTTCATGATACAAGGATGTCCAGTCCAGCTTCAAAAGCCAGTTGGACACCTGGATTCCATAGAATATTTGTTGATTTATGCCTTGGAGAAATGCTGAAGAATGAGCCCGGGTCGACGCGAATTACCAAGGCGGGTTGGAGGAACATTGTTGGATCCTTTTATGCAAAGACTGGTGTGAGATATGACAAAAAGCAATTTAAGAATCACTATGATTCTACCAGAAAGCTATGGAAAGTCTGGGTCAAGTTGACTGATGATAGTAGCATGAAGTGGGATCCAGAAACACGAACGTTCGGTGCGTCCGAGGAAGACTGGCAAAATTATGTAAAGGTATGGATAGTGATTATTTATGTTCAGCCAAGATTGTAAGATATCTTCATGATTTCAGATTAATAGTATTGAAACCATCTTGTAGCAGGTGATACCAGAAGCGGCACAGTTTCAGTCTAAGGAAATCCAGTTTAAGGACAAACTGGATATCATCTTTGATGGAGAAAATCATATCGAGGAAATGAAAAGGCTTGCAAGTCTCAAGCGGCAACATGATGCTTCAGCTACATCTACTTTGCGCGGAAAAGAGCGGGAGAAGAAACGCAAGAATGTTAGTAGGGATTATGAATCTGATAGTACCATTATGGTTGACTATGTGCCAACACCAAAAGCGTCTTGGACACCTACATACCATAAAATATTTGTTGACTTGTGCATTGAAGAAACATTGAAAGGGAACAAGTCTGGAACACATTTTACCAAGGAGGGCTGGAGGAATATTGTTGGATCCTTTACTACAAAGACTGGGATGAGATATGACAAAAAACAAATTAAGAATCACTATGATTCAACCAGAAAACTATGGAAAATCTGGGATAAGTTGATTGGTGATGATAACATGAAATGGGACCCACAAACCAATAAGTTTGGTGCTTCTGAGGAAAACTGGCACAATTTTATAAAGGTATTCAGGGTATTAAGTAATATTCATTTAATATAGTAAGAGAACTTCATTGTTTTGTACTAATAGTAATGAAGTCATTTTGTCACAGGCATTCCCAGAAGCTGCACAATTTCGGTTTAAGGAACTTCAGTTTTCTGACAAATTAAACATCATCTTTGATGGAGCTATGCCAACTGAGGAAATGATAACGAGGCTTAAAAGGCAGAATGATGCTTCAGCTACATCACGTGGAAAAGAGCGAGAGAAGAAGCGTAGGAATGTTTTTCGGGATTGTGAATTAAAGAGTGCCATTATGGTTAATGCTATCCCAATCAGTACAGTTCCAAGTGAGCAGAGCATGTCTAGTTCATCACATCCCAAGGTCAAAGCTGCATGGACACCGTCAGTGCATAAGATCTTTGTTGATCTATGTCTCCAAGAGACATTAAAGGGGAATAAGCCTGGGACACATTTCACGAAGGAAGGTTGGAAGAACATTATGGATTCATTTTATGCAATAACTGGTTTGAATTATGGTAGATTACAACTTAAGAATCACTGGGATTCTACCAAGGAACAATGGAAAATTTGGTGTAAGCTTATTGGCACCAGTTACATGAAATGGGATCCATCTAACAAGAAATTTGAGGCTAGTGAAGAAGGCTGGATTAACTATTTACAGGTATGTTAAATTACTAACTGCATGTAGTTTGTATGCCTTGCGAGTTTCCAAATCTTACGGAAGTTCATGATTTCCACTTTATTAATTTCACATTTGTGATTTTGGTATAGGAAAACCCAGAAGCTGCGCAATTCCGCTTTAAGGAACTACAATTCACTGACATATTGGAAACCATCTTTAATGGAACTACTGTTACTGGGGAGACTGAACCTGCTGCTTTGCAACAAAGGAAAAGTGATGATAGCGTTATTACTTTCCCCTTGCACTCAAAAGAACTCGACACAGCCAACTTAGACGTGAAAATTGAATGTCGTTGTGATGCTGTTGCATCAAGAAATGGTGTCAGTATTCAAAAGAATGCTAGCGCAGTTTCATCCACTGAAAGCAAACGTAATTATAGTATCGGTGAATGCATTGAATGCCTTGATAAAATGGAAGAAATAGAGCAAGGAAGTGATCTTTACATGTTTGCTTTAGATGTATTTCTTAAGCAGGAATATAGGGAAATTTTTCTGCAATTGAAGAAGTCTAATTTGAGGATATCGTGGTTGCAGCGGCTTCAGTCTGGTGGTCCACCTTCTCTCTAGGTTTTTGTCATACTTTAATATTTTCTTGTTACAGTACTTTGTAGAAGGTGGACTTTAGGCAGTGGTCTGTTCCTAGCAATACGGTGATGGTAGAAATTTTCAGGGGTACTACAAATGTGAGTTACTTGGAAGCTTAAAAGTGTATATCGATAACTCATTGATGTAATAATACAATAGCTCATAAATGATAGTGGAGTTTCTTTTCCGCCCGTTTTCAAACCTCTAGATATTATTTGGTGCTTGTTTGTTCGGTATCAAGTTGATTTGGATCTGGGTCAACTTGAAGCAACACAGGCCTGCTACTGCTTTATTTGTTTTCTTTTGACGTGAATTTGCAGGCTTAACGCGATATACAAACATATCAAACGCGCACTTAGTGCATGTTTGCTTGCATGTCTTTGATGTACGCTCAAAATTAAATTCAAAGCTTTGATGAAAAAGTTATCTAAAGTAGCCTCATTTTGGACGTGGAAAACCACGTCAAGAATGCATGACCAAACATGCGCGATCATTAAGCATTCCAAAGGAACGTGGAACAAGCATTTCAATAATTTATTGAATACAATAACTGTTATGGATATTTTGCACGTTGCATTCGGTATATCTCACTTTGGATGCGTAAAACACCTCGCATGCCCATGCTTGGAATACTAGAAATAGAATCATAATAGTTAAATATTATGAAATCTGAAATATTTCAATATGTGATATTTTATGTATAATTTTAGGATTTTTTTAATATTTTTTATCAAGCATTAAGATTTCTATATAAGAAAAGTTACAGCTTAAAAAAAATGATAATATTGTATCTAACACATCGGTGTGCAAGGATCTACGACTAAATAACAAACACGTCTCTAGGTTGGAGAGCCGTTCTATGCCTCGAGTTAATATTAGATTATGTAGTATTGATGTTTAATGTGTACCAAGAACAAGCCTGAATTCAGAGAATAAGAACCTTTTTAACTGAAAGCAACTCTGTTCCTGAAGGATGAATAATGAAACTAACGTTCAGTATCTATGCACTATCTACTTCTCAAACTTGTCACATAGAGTGTTTGGAAGCAAAAAATTTCGCACTCCGGTCTCTGGAATGGTAATGGCATCCATATGGCTGCTTATGATACATTTTATTCGGAAGCCCTTCTTCCTTATCACATTCCTTTGCATAGAAAAGTACTCATACCCTTTGGTAGGATCTGAATCTTCTGCTCTGCAAAAATGCAAATCATTGGCAGTATAAGATTCAGTTCTTATATTACTTTTGGTAAAGCAAACTAAGTTTGCAAATATGCATCTCTAAAATGCTTTTGAAAAAGGTAACTTAAGTTGTAGCCTGGTAGATAATCATATCTAATATTAATGTTACATTCTGAAATGTTACAGCATCTCTACAATATGAAATTTTAAGCATAACCGATTGAGAACCCATAAGGCAACAAGGCTAGATATTGGATATACAAAATGAACATTTTATCATTATACCTCATCATCAAGGCAGACCAACTTCTTAATCCCGCAGAGTCAAGATGATTAATGGTTACATTTCGGCGTGTTCCAGGCTCTCTTGATAACAGAATTATAGACCATCCACCGGTTTGAAGGTACATGTATAATCTAGAAACAAACATGAGTTTTACATTTTTTGCCTCTTCAATACAGTTGCTAGTGCTGCCATTGTAAAACCTAAACCAAAAGAAACTTCTTGTCAAGTTACATGCGATGCAATAACAGATAATGAATGTCAGCATCCAGTTGGAAGAACTACATAAAGAGTCTAAATTAATAATCAACAGAGCTTTGAATAGCAAGAGATATAAATTGGTAAGTCGATACAAGTTGGTCTAACAACCCACAAATAAAAAAATTAGACAACACGATGCCAATTGTATCTGATGTCATCTTTTTCTCTTTTTCCCTATATTTTATGTCATCCTATGTTAGGAAACATTAATTGCAAGAAATCACCTGAGAAACGAATTGGAAGAATAAGAATTCCGAGGAAAAATGTCATCTATGTCCATCAAAACTACATCCAAACCATCCTCTGAAGGTCTTACACTCTTGAAGTAATCATCAACCACAGACATAGTCAAATCCAACTCTCTAGCATATTGACCTCCTTTGATATAGTGTACATCCAGGTCTCTGCAGATTTTAGGAAGATTATATCCTTCTAAGTTATTGATCTCAGCATGCAGAGAATACACTCTGCAATAACTGTAATAGTCATTTATATTCAGAAGCTCGATAACTCCGGTGGTTTTACTTTGACAGGATTGCAGCATAATCACCAAGGAAATCACCAAAGTAATCAGTAGAACTCCAAGGGTGACAAGTGAAGCAACAAAGATTGTTGCGGTAAAAGATTTCATGTAGAATCCTGATTCTAGCTCATAATGGCTTCCCGTATCTGTGAAAACACAAAAGAAAAATATACAATTAGATGATGGTAAAAAGGATAAGATAGCCTAGAACAAGCTCTGTATTATTATCAAGTCATGACATTCCTTAGGTAAACTAGTTCAACTTGAATCAAATCAATTGATGAGTCCAATCTCTGCCCCACTCCCTCCTTTTTTTTTTTTATTTTTTTTAATCTTGGTGGGGAGGACAAAGTTGGGCCAAGCTCGGACAAAGGAGGAGGGTTGTGTTAGGTCCTCAACAGTAAACATAAAACTCGTTAATATACATAACATGGATCACTTAGCTTTAACCAAGTCGATCAACATATGTGATTCAAGTAGTCATCCTCACCCTGTGGAATAACGATTTGTTTGGATAAATTTCTTTAGAAGTATTTTTAGAAAAAAAAATAAAAATAAAAATAAACTTCTTTTTAAAATTAGTTTATGTTTAAATTTAAAGTAAGATTTAAAAAATAAGACAGCTTCTACAAATTAACTAATAAGACAGCTTCTACAAATTAACTATCTTATATATTCGATAATTTTAGTTACTCTTCTCATTTTTCTCTCCTAGAGTGTTTCTCCGATAAGTTTACCTAAACATGACTATTACTTCTGTTGTTGGTTGGGGAGGACAAAGTTGTGATCCCAAAAAAACACTACTTTTTACAAGTTAATCCTTTGATGACTACGATAATTGCATATAGTAAGTACACGGAATAATTACAGAACACCAAGCATTAATCTATTTAGGGGCAGGTTCCACAATATATGATGGCGTTTCTTCGGTCATTTATATCTAAAGAATGACAAAATTGGCATTACATACCAGAATCATCCGAGAGACCGTGTGCAGAGTACTGCTGTTCCATTTGATGAGCATAAGCAGACATAGCTTCAATATTCTGCAAGCTAATAGATAATTGGAACCTATAATCCAATTCAAGTAACACCTCCACTTTCTTTCCAGGTGCCAAAGGTATAACCTATTATTATTTAACAAGGAGTCATTTGGTCATCACTCATAACCTCAAATTCAAAAGCATCAACACAAGGGTCGGAGCTAAGCAATTTTCATTGAGGAGGGGCAAAAAAATAACAAAACTTTATTCTAATTTTCAAACTTTCATAGGGAGATGAAATTATAATGTGAAATGAGAAAAGCACCTGAGAAAGACATCACTCTGTGCCAAAACAAAAATCTTACGAAAGAACGAGGATAAATAACTTGATTAAGAATGTCAAAACAAATGCGTTGCCATGCCATGGATATTTCGCGGCTTCTCCGTTGAATGAATCACTGTACTTACTGTGATTAGAGATTCTGTGTTCACAATCCAACGGTTAAGATTTTTAAGTTTATATTTTATTAACTTTTAATATATCAAAAGTGAAATTAACGGTGAGATTTTGTGCAGTAGCATTAGCGATCGCAGACAATGCAGACGCGCAAGGAAGCTTCCTTTATTTTTAGGCGTCTTTCCTTTGTTTTGTTTTGCCTCTATTGAGTTTATTTTATAAAATATGTTAAATTATAATGTTTAAATTCAGAGAAAAACATATTATTACAAGAATATAAATATAGAATAAAATATAATTGAAACAAGAAAATTATTAAGGTTAAGTGTATGTATAAATAATTATATCTATAATTTATAATTAATTGAAAATTATAATTATTGACTATCTTGAAACAAATATTTTATATCATGTTTTAACATGAAAATTTATTATATGGTATTTAATCTTTGGCGTGAGACATTTGCCTTAAATTATATAAGTTTTAACGCTCATAAAAATATGACACAACTCAAGTAAATTCGTCTTTTATAAATAAATATACATGTGTTATAAAAGAAATGAAATAATAAAAAAATAATATGAAAAAATCTTACTGGTACCGTAAGAGAATTAATTTTTTTATAAGTACATATGAATTAAATAATTATACAAAAAATAAAATAATATATAATGAAGATATAAATGATAATAATGTCCAATATTTAAAATATGTCTCGTTAAAATTTTAATAGAAAAAATTATGTGGGATAAAAATCTAGTGAAAAAAAAGTATATCATTTTTAAATATTTATTTATCTTATTGTGATACTTCATTTTTCATAAAATATAATATAAGTATTTCATTAATAATTTTGGTATTTATTTTTTATTAATAAGAGTTGATTAATATTTATTTTATTATTAATTATTATATTTTGTGACAATTAAATGTGTTAACTTTAATGATTATTTATAACTATTTTATATAAAAATATTGTGAGATTTTATAATTAAAGATTTTTTTATTTTATTATTTATTATTAATTAATAGGGAAAAGTATTTGTAAACAAAGGTTAAGTGTTTTAACTGAAGAATTAGTGGGAAATTATGTTTTTTTTTATAAAAGGAGGAATTCTAATCAATTTTTCATTTTTACCCTCCTACGTTTTTCTACGCTTACACGGTTTAGGGTTCAAAGAACCAGAAGGAGAAAGAAATCACCCCAAACTTGCGCATCTGTCTTTTTCTATTCAACATGGCAAGGGGGAGGGAGTGAGAAATCTTGCTTTAGGTATGAGATATTGTATGTAAGTTAGTGAGATTGACCCTCCAATACTGTGTATGTTATATACCTATGAATGCGGGAATTTTTTTCCAAATGCGTCTAGTTTGTCTCTTGTTCTCCTTACATGTTCCTAATGACAAGAGTTTTTTGAATGTATGATCGATTGTATGTTTTAGATTGTAATTGCATAATATGAAATTCCTGTGGTTCCTATGGGAAACTCAAACAAAACTTATTGTGATATTTTGTGAAAATATTGATTGATACGTGTAAATTGAGTGACTTAAAATGTTAATTACATGTTATAGAGTGAATTTATTGATTATATATAGATTTATGCATGAAATTGAATATGGTAACTTGTAATTGTTGAGGAGACGTGATTTCTAATTAAGGAGGAAGATTGTGTTCTCGCTAGTGAGATGTGTTAGGTCGCTTAGTAAGAAGCCCTAGGGGGCTTAGCTCGCTCAGCTAGATGTTGGTGGCTCAACTAGATGTTGTTGGGCAGTGACTATTAATTGTTTATTTTACCTTTGTAATTTTGATACTACCTTTTTACTAATGATTAGCTAATGTAATTGAGAATATACATGAAATATACAAGGTGATATAAGAAATATGTGATATGTGAAGTGAAAGCATGTGTATGTTATTGCATTGAGTCTGTTTAACATGCATCATATGCACGCGAATTGGAAAATCGCAAATCGATAAATCATTTAATCATGTACTGCGCATATCTTGAGATTGGTACCACATGCATGCAAATCAAAAGTCTATATCCTTTACATTCCATACTTGCATGTAAATAAATTAATTATGATTGGTGTTTCATGGATGAATAATTGTGTAAATGATGATAAATGAATTATTGTATTGATTGTGATAATCGAGGACTATGTGATATATGAAGTGAGAGCATGTGTATGTTATTGCATTGAGTTTGTTTGACATGCATCATATGCATGCAAATAGACAAATTGATAGATCGTTTGATATGCATTGTGCATATCTTCAGATTGATACCACATGGATACAAATCAAGAGTCTATGTCATTTGCATCGTATACTTGCATGTAAATGAGTTAATTATGACTGGTATGGATGAGTAATTATGTCAATCATGATAAATGAGTCATTTTATTAATCGTGATAATTATTTATTAATATCATGCTATTGTATAAATGGAGTGTGTATGACTATTTGGTATTTATTTCATGTAATGAGCTAGAGTGTAAGTGTGTATAGCTAGGTATTGTTGTACGTCTTGTTTGTGTTTGATTATTCGGTTTATATTTTTATACTGTGAGCCAATTTGAGATGCTTCTCACTCCCTTTGTTTTGCATTATTTTCCTTGATTGTTATGCAAATAATCATCAACATGAGGTTGAAGATGTTGGTAATGAGGTCTAGACTTTAGTGTTGAATTTTGCTTTAATAAGACATGTGACATTAGGACTTAACTAGAAATAGATTAGGATATTGTTCTGTTGAATTATTTTAGAAAATATTAGTTTTATTTCCTTATAATTTCAGTTGATTATGTTATTTTATTAAGTTAAGAGTGTGATGCTTTTTACTTGAATACATTTAATTTTATTTAGAGTTATGTTATTCAATTTTCATTATTTATATATTATGGTATGTAGGATAGAGGGTGTCACATCCTTCATGCATATATATAATTATAAGGAAGTCGAATCTTGTGTATCAATTTTTTTTAAAAAGTTTTTATTCATGAAAAAAAAATACAAATATGAAAAATTATATTTTTTTATGGAAAAAATGTGTTTATTTATGAAAAGATACACGAATAAAATGTTGTATCCTTTCTTCAAAGTGTTTGTTATTTAACGAAAGGAAATGTAAGGGTTATATATATCTTCACAGAAATTCTAAATGTGCCACATATATATATATATATATATATATACTTTGATAAAAATAACTTATTTATTATAAAATTATTCATTATAATAAACTAACGATTTTGAACTTAAGTTTTATTTAGATAAAACTTTTTTTTATC